AATCACTCTCGGGAGGCCCACCACACCTCCTGGCCGTGCAAAGCTCCCACACACATTCAGCTACCCATCTGTTAACTCGAACCGGTCCTTGTTACTGTATCACTCCTGGGACGAGCATCTTTCCGCCGGTAACTAATCAGACTTGAAGTCACTTTCAATCTCTACGCCCAGTTGCATGTCCAAATTCGAGACTCCTTTGCCTTTTTGTGTGTCCTACGCATTAGCTACACATCAAAAGGGGGGTGTCGGGCCTACGCTATTCTGGCCCTCCGACCCTTCGGGATTTTCTTTTCCGATTGATACAATCTGCTGAATCCCCAGACTACTTTAAAAGATGTAAAAAACATCCACCTCCATAGGCAAGCCCTCTTGTAAAACCGTTTGCATGTGTTATTTTATGATTTTATTGTATAAGTGGTTACGATTGATTCACGGCCTGTCCACCTCTGCAGACTTGACTTGTGCTTATGTTCTATAAGTTCCGGTTTGATTTGGATCTTCAAATTTGGTGCATTTGGAGTTGTACGAACCGACTTTAGCATCTTCTCGCTCAATTTCTCATCTATCCATGAGATAAAACCGTGCCTTGTCACACAATTGGGCTTGAACCTCCCTCCCCCCACTACATATTCGAAGTTGAGCGCCTTTGTGCGCGTCAGTGGTTAACCACTTTAACTATGGTGTGCAGTTAGCAGTCTAACTATGCCTACATCCCGAAAATGCCTGGCTGGTGTGGAGCATCCTGTCATCAGCTTTGAGTGTACGCACGTCACGCAGTGAAAGATGGAAGAGTAAGTCGGGGAGAATTGGACCTATTTATTTATTTATTTTGAGCTCAGTTTCACAGCCAGCAGTTGGACCCTGGCTTGAATGCTTCAGAGCGCCTCACTGTCGGCTGCGAGTGTGTGCACATCACGCAGAAAATGGAAATCAGCCACGTGACTGCAGTAGCAGTGTGTTTATATTTTTTTGTTGTTGTAACTATTGAAATGTTCATTAATGTCCACTGACCTATTAGAAAGAGCAAGAAACAGTGATTTTACATGCCTACATCCCGAAAATGCCTGGCTGGTGTGGAGCATCCTGTCATCAGCTTTGAGTGTACGCACGTCACGCAGTGAAAGATGGAAGAGTAAGTCGGGGAGAATTGGACCTATTTATTTATTTATTTTGAGCTCAGTTTCACAGCCAGCAGTTGGACCCTGGCTTGAATGCTTCAGAGCGCCTCACTGTCGGCTGCGAGTGTGTGCACATCACGCAGAAAATGGAAATCAGCCACGTGACTGCAGTAGCAGTGTGTTTATATTTTTTTGTTGTTGTAACTATTGAAATGTTCATTAATGTACACTGACCTATTAGAGAGAGCAAGAAACAGTAATTTTACTTTTTTTTTTGTGTGTGTGTCCATTTGACAGCCAGTCGACCACTGCAAATAATAATAATAGTAACCATATATTTCAACCAGAACCAGTTGTTTGCAGAGGTGTGCCCTCCAGGCAGACTGCTGGGGATCGTTAGACTGTAACATTTTGTGCTGTTTTTAAGCGTGGATCTCAACGTGCTGGCCGCCAAAGGGCAGACTTATTTACGACTTAGAAAAACCTCCGCTTCGTTGCCACTTTTATCGCTCACTTCTGCACATTGCTGCCCGGTTGCGCTGAAATGTCATGTTGCGCGTTTGGAAATTGTGAGCGTTCGCACATGTCCGAATCATTGGAACTTGTCCTATTTCGATATACCCGTTCACAAATACAGATGACATTAGAACCGTGCGGCATCTTGTGTAGTTTATTGAAGATTTAGTTTCTTATATTTTTTCAAATGATGACCAAACATTTGACCAAAGGCAAACTGTGCACAGAAATTGTGTACGACTGATAAAATGGGAAAGCAATACTCGCCTCCGCTTCGTTGCCACTTTTATCGCTCACTTCTGGATATTGCTGCCCGGTTGCGCTGAAATGTCAGGTTGCGCGTTTGGAAATTGTGAGCGTTCGCACAAGTCCGAATCATTGGAACTTGTCCTAATTCCATATATCCGTTCACAAATACGGATGACATTAGAACCGTGCGGCATCTTGTGTAGTTTATTGAAGATTTAGTTTCTTATATTTTTTCAAATGATGGCCAAACATTTGACCAAAGGCAAACTATGCACAGAAATTGTGTATGACTGATAAAATTGGAAAGCAATACTCACTGTCTTCTAAATTTGACGCACCTAAGAGAAGAATGTTATCAAACAAAGCCGCACGATCGGGGGTCGAACGCAATCCCCAAGCGCCTACTTCACAGTCATCAACTTTACATTATCCAAAAGAAGATTCCCATCTTCTTGCAGTTCCTTATAAATGTACTTTGTCCGTGTAGACTGCATGCCTAAACGGCAATGACTTTAATGGGAACGAGTGGAGCTGCTTTGATTGGCTGTTAATCGAGTCAGCTGTGTTCAGTCCCACAACGGCGCAAACGCCCATTTCTAAATGCGCCGGTCTAACAAAAGGCCAAAAGAAAGAAAACTCCACCCATGCACCAAGATGCTGCCCTTCATGTTCACCATGCGAATCTTTCCGCCCTTGTTTCCTTTTACGCTGGCCCAGCCAGGTCATGAACGGGTCAGCGTTGGGTAGGGTCATGCCCTCCTGCTGCGTCCTCAGCCATGTGGAGAATGTGTATCGTCTTCAAAGCCGCCCTATCATCAAGCTCCTTGCGCAGATGCGCAACTACAAATTGTCCTGCCGCAACAATAGAAATACTCGTAAGGGCCTCACGGTCATTCCATGTAAAAACCAACAAAGAATTTTTCCTTCAGCCTTCAAATCTCCTCAAATTTTGTGTGGTTGGAAATAGAAGGCAAAGACCAAAACATTTGACACGAGCTTGATTTATAAAGCTCTGACATAGTCCTACACAAGTGGAATGAATGTTCTTTTATAAACCGAAGATTAAGATTTTTCCCAACTCCAAAGAAAGAAACTGTGTCACAGCATTAAGCTCTGCAGAGACTGACGCATCAGTTTATACAATGTCCGCTTATATCGTAAAATCTGATAAGTGTAGATAAAGTAAATAAAAAGGAACTGCAGCCTGCAGACTACGAAGAGGTGAGAGAGGACACAATTCAATAAATTGTTTATATGTTTTGTAATGTCTGGCTGAGAGGGAATTAGGGGATAATTGGTGGAGGATTTAAAGAAATACAGTGAACATTTTATGGAAGGGGGAAACATGTATTTTCCAGGCTCGTCCACAAGAAGTGAAAATCTGTACTTGGGAGAGACCACAAAAAAAAAAAAATTCTTTGAATAGTTTTGCCTTACCCACGTGCTTTATACACTTAAAATTAATAAACACAATTTTTAAAGTACTAAGGTGTCGTTCCCCACTGAAATGAATGGAAATGCCACTAATCCGTTCCAGTCGCTCCCCAAAAAAATGTTTTTACATATTGCCTCTGCAAACTACTGCTTCTTGTGAAGTAAGTTGAACAGAGGTTGCTACCAACATACAGCGCTCTGTGAATGTGAGTGTTAATGGCGGTCTGTCTCAAGATGTTGCCCTGCTATTGGTTGGCGAGCCAGTCCAGGGTGTGCCCTCGCTCAATAAGTCACATAAGATCGTCTCTAGATCACCCGCAACAATAAATAGCTAAGTCCTATGAAAAATGGTCATCATTCTGGATGACATGAATGGATGCTGGATGCTGGATGGCCTTCATGAAAATAAAAGTGAAGTTTTACAAGCATCAGAAATCAAGCTGATCCCGAAACATTCACGTGACCCCCTAAATAACTTCCCGCATGCGAATAGGTCGCCGAGCCTCGCGTCCACTCTCTCTTTCAATGATTTACATCTACAGTATTAAACAAACGTAAGTTCCCGGAGTAAATTTGAAGTGGCCGGGGCGCATCGGGTGCGTTCAGTGTCGGGTTTAGCGGACACCCCGGCGTGTGACCCCTCCGAGAGCGAAACCACACCTCGTAAAGAAGTCACGCTTTACCTCCTTTTTTTTTTTCACACCCCTCCCAGCTCGTGTTGGGTTTCCCTACCGGTCCATGGACTCAGTGTATGTGGGAAACCAGCAACGCTAACAAAAAGCAAGCAATTTAGCCACATGACACACATGCACACACACAACCGACTATTTTCCAGAAATTGCTGATTCGTCTTCTGCTCAAAATTCTAAATATGAATTTAAATGAATTACTTTTGGTTTTATTCATACTTAAGTATAAAAGTATTTTTGGAATGTCTTCTGTAAAAAAATCTATCTGGCTATAAATCCACTTACATGCTTAAACCCAATTCAACTTAAAAATCACTTTGTAACCTGTTTCAACTTTCTCGCTGTTAAGAAATGAGGAAACAAACCTGTAACATTCCATTGCTGGCTTCCTCAAGCAGTTCAAGAGCCAACGGGTGTTTGCTTCAAGGTGTTTATTTTTCACTCCCACTTGAAGTTTCTTGCAAAACTGGCACACTTCAAAAATCCATGATTTTGCACTTTTTTAGTAACTACCGAATTTCTTCCACTGGATCTGATGAAACATGGCAGGTGTTTTCTCATGTTGTGACTACTAAGTGTTGTTTTTTTTTTTTCTTCCTGCTTCTCTGTGACCACTGCAGTGACCCTGACAGGCAAACAGAAACAGAACAATAATTCTGCCCGTGAGAAGTGTTCGTATTTCTTCAGCGTACTCTCTCGGCAGGATCACCAAAAGGGGCCTGGGGCTATGAATTCCATATCCCGCTTGCTGCTGAATATTGACTTACATGACAGATAGATATCTCCTCTTCAGATATTTTTTTTCCTGATTTACATTCTTACTCTTGATGTAGGTCAGTGTACATTCGATTGGGCGCTTAATGTTTTAACTCGCGGGCCAACAACTCAAAAAATAACCACAAAACTGTCCAAAGGAAAATATTAACAATGTTGATGTTTTCTATGAAGCTTTTATGTACAAAAATGGAACACATACCTTCTGACAATTGGGCCAGATTTGAGCAGTTCTAGGACGTTTGACAGATTACCCTGTGGTTTGGAGTGTTGTGGAATACGTTACTTGTTCTGACGGAGAACACCTGAAACAAAGTTTTGGGGGTGGGAAAGGAGAGGGATCGTCAGGGATGCACTTTGTGGCCAAGAGAAAAGTAAAAACTGGGCATACTCGATAGAAACTGCAGTTGGCCACAGCTCATGCGCCGATAGAAAACTGCTGGCGTTCCACAAGGCGCGCTACTCAATGCACAGAATTTTGACTTTTCACTCCCATACCCGAATGTTACCAGCTCAACACTCAAACGTCCAAATTGGTTGCCGTTCCAGTAGAAAAGCTAGATAAAATAGGATGATATGGGGTTTTTCAGTTTATTAGGGTCCCGAGGTTATGAAGAGCATCCAATTATCTTGATTCCACAGTGGCATAAGAATACACAATCATGCCTGCAGCACAAAAACGTATTTGGAATTTCCTGGTTTTTTTTTGTTTTTTTTATTGTTCGACATTTATGGCCCCTTACAAAAAAATACTCTAATTCTGACTTTACAACAGGGTGTAAATATACTCCAAAAATACTCCATAAACTGAGGACCCAAAATGTATTTTGCTTACTAAAAAAAAAAACAATTTTTTTCCATCACCAACTTGACATTGTTGACTGCTAAAATTCAGATCAAGAACATTTACACTATTTTGGAGAATCTTATATTATACTTCTTTTTCAGGTACTGTTGTTCATTACATTTGTGACATTCCTAAAAGTTGTCATATATTCACTTTCTCTTCGTTCTCCAGCAATTAGTCACAACATTATCTTTATTAGTCAGGCGGCTCGGGGGAAATCAGGCTTGAAGCATGCAAAATGATCTTTTAATTGCATTATGAAGACCACGGTCCTGGTCCAGACCCTAGGGGAAATGATGGTCTCTTTATTGTTAAAACTATCGATTATGAGATGGAACTAAAGAAATACTAGAAAGAAACTAAAGGGATGGTTTAAATGATTGATTCACTGGTACCCTTCTGGAGTTGTGCCACATATTCATCACACTTTTGACCGGGATTTTCTTCAAGAGTCCTGACACAAAATGGAACTCCGGACCATTAGTGGATCCCGAATTTTGTCGCAAACTTTTGCCATAATGTCTGCTGCTCATCATACCTTCCCCTCACCCCCTAAATCGAATCACCCAACTTGACACCACCCCCGATAATGACGCATGACTTTCACACGGCCGCTCATCACGTCAACGGAAGCGCTCCCCACTTTTTACAACAAAGATCGTTCCGCATACGGCCACCGAAGCATCGCGGCTAACCGTGAGATGACCTGCCTCGCGCATTGTTAATCGGAAAGACTGCATTCAAAAGACGAAGGGGGGGTGACCAGGATGTGTTATGCCATCTTGGCTTTGGCTTTGAACTGTGAATAATGTGCTGCATGGAAAAGCTTCTAGGGTGCGTACGCCTGCCAGTGACTTTCCACCATTCACTGAAGTGGAATACCACTTGCGCGCATGCACAACCACACGCACGCACACAATGGCGAACACAATGGCTTAACTGTCGTAAAAGCAGGTCAAAGCGCGTGCTTTAGGTGTGGCATCCCGCCGGCGACTGACACTCACGGTATATGAATGATGATTCCAATGGCGTAGTTGTGTTGCGTTTTATGGGAAAGGGAGCGAGTCAATAGTTGAGCCTGATCAATGATCTCAGCGACATCAATTCGGGGTCGTGAAAGGCTGCCAAAACCCTGCTGTAAGAGGCCCGTTGCACAAGTTCACTAGTTTCATGATGTCAGGATGAGGTTGCTTCTTTGCGACAGAGCCAAGATGGGGATAAAAGATTACGATTTTCAATGACTCGTCAACAGGTAGGCCATCCTTTATGCTCAAAGGGATGCATTTGAAATCGGACTAAATGGCCAGCGAGAAAAATGCAGTCGTGGGCAGTGTGTTCGCTACCTGGGACTTTAGAGGGAATCTACCCAACTTAACTCATTCACTCCCATCGATGTTTTTAAACGTCTTTTCAGACTTGGTCTAGAATTGGCTGGTCCTGAATGAGTTTAATTGACATTTTAAAACAACCACGATCACACCACATTATATAAACACAGAATACCATTAAAAAAAAAAAAAACAATATAGCAGCAGCAACAAATGACTCCTAAATGTGAATGCCCGGTGGGCCAGATTGAAGAATGGAGTGGTGTGCTTGCTTGCCCACCCTTAGACTAAACCCGGCTAAGTAGACAGAGAAATTGCGCTCTCGGGTGTCAATGCTAGCGACTTTAACCGACTCTTTCCATTGGCTGATGACGTAAAGTCCGTTTATTCAGGTGAAAGCTCTCGTGTTTGTGTTAGTGATGATGCCGCGCGCTCGCCGGCGGTTGTGACGGGTGCCACAATGGCAGATAAGTGCGTGCGTTAGTGTGTGTTTGTGTTTGCGAATTGCCTGTAGTCACTCTGCTAACACAAACACACCTGGAAGATGCACGAACATCAGATAAAAAGCCCGAAAGGCAAACACTGCTCATTTAGACGACCCGGTCTAAATAATACTTATTTTAAAGGTGAGGAAGGGTCTGTTTATTGAGACTGTCTCTTGGATGCTATTGGAACACCAGTACAATGGAGAGATTAGTTTTACTTAACTTTGTAAACAAACCGCTAATGTGTTTTGTTCGCATTTCCAAAAAAGATGACTAAATATCCGACAAAATGGGTTTACTTGTTGTGTCTGAGACAGAATTTGCACATAAAAACGTCGCAGGCGATGTTTAAAAAAAAAAAAAAAAAAAAAGGAGGAAAGTAAGTAACTCTAATGGCTGTCAATGCTGGACTAGTGCAAAGCAGGTTAAAGTCCAGCTTTGAGGGGACTTGTTTGCTTTGTCATGTGACTCCCACCGCGACATGACTAAAAGCGGGACCATTTCGAATTTTGACATTGCTTGAGCCAAAGTCGTGTGAAGTTTTCACTTTTCGCGCTCTTTTTCCAAAAGGTGGCAAAAGTTCTCACGCTGTGGCCTGAAGTCGAAGGAGAGACACGTGTGCTTTAAAAGTAAAAGCATTGTTTGGAAACAATGGAAAGTCTTGTACTTGCAAATGAACTTGGACTGTCATTTATGTACCGTGCCCGTTTTTAATGTCTTGGCATGGAGCAAAAAAAAAAAAAAAAAAAAACCTCCTTTGGGCACAAAATATATTCTGTTTTTTATTAAAGCCATTGTTTTGATCCGGAGGAGAAAATAAATCTTGTTATTTGTTGCATGGAGGTAGCTAGCATTAGCTTGACTTGTCGGCATATCAAAACAAACATGTTGCTATATTTTGCTGACTGTGTGATGGATGTAATCCAAAAAATGGCTTAGTTAGCAAATAATAAAATACACTTCATTTGATTTTTTTTTTTTTTTTAAGATTCGATGCAGAATGTTTGAATGGAGTCGCTGATGGTGTCATTGTACGCTCGCCTGACTTGTGTGTGGGGGTGCAGCGTGGCATCGATTCCCTCTCGATGACGGTGTGATTGTGGGTTTGGGTGGTCGCCTGTCTCAATATGTGCCCTGCGACTGACTGGCAACCAGCTCAGGGGGTAGTCTGCCTTCTGCCCGGAGTCAGCTGGGATCGGCTCCAGCAACTCCCTGTGACTCTATTGAGGATCAGCGGTGTTGAAAATGGATGGATGGATGGATGGAAAATTTTTGAAGGCCAGAAGCTTTGCGGTTTGAGGCGAGACAACGCATTCGCCACAAAGCATTTTAGCAGCCAACAAATTAAACAAACCTCTTCATTAAGGCCACGGGTGGGGAACGTCTTGCCTTCGCTGTGTCATTCGCGCTCGCTCGTTGATTTTACGTGTCGCCGTTGTCCCCGTATTTGCCACCTTCTAAATCCAATCAATGCATTTTGATTTTACGTGTCGCCGTTGTCCCCGTATTTGCCGCCTTCTAAATCCTGAATAGCTCAATCAATCCATGTTACAAGATCGTAACCACAGTTGACGTTAAATCTTTCTGTTTACATTTTTTTAAAAAATATTTTGACAAAGTGTTAACGAGTACAAAGCACAGATATATTTTTTCAAATGTAGGACATAAAAATGAAAGGTCTAACCACAGTTGACGTTAAATCTTTCTGTTTACATTTAAAAATATATATATTTTGACAAAGCTTTAACGAGTACAAAGCACAGATATATTTTTTCAAACGTAGGACATAAAAATGAAAGGTCTGGAAAAAAAATACTCAAGTACAGATACCTTAAAAACAGAGTTTACCGACTTTCACACTCAATTATTTGATAAAACTGCTCAAGTAGGAGTTGATGGCTGGCTTACTGGAAGTGACTGAGAAAAGGGAAAAGAGTGATGGGGGTCGAGGGGCTTGTATCTTCCCTTCGGGAAATGATGCGAAGCCACCCCTCAATCCCACCCCCCCCTTTTTGCTCATTAACACACTTGAACTTTAGCTCTGGCTTTTTCTAAAAACCCCGACTTATCTCCTTTTCCCAATATATGAGCAGGGGAGGGGGGGGAAGGGGGGGCAAGGCCCTAACACCGCTGCCTCTGTGAGGCCTCAGCTGGGCCGGGTCAACAGTTGCGAGACTGATAGGTTGATGATTTATTCCGATGCTATCAGGAGTGAGCAAAGTCATCTGCGGAGCCGCAATCGCCGCCAATTTCTCTCTCTCCCTCCAGCTTTGAGAGAGTGAGCGAGAGAGAGCCAGAGTGGCGTTTGGCGAAAGATCGCAAAAATGGAACAAAGTGCTTTGTGTTCCAAAGACTACAAACAAGGCTTTTACTCGGGCGCTGTCTTAGTGAGACAGTAAACAGACCCGATAGACCGTTTTACATCTGCAGCTCATCCAGCAACCAGACAAACGTTTACTCCACAACCGTCCCAAGACGCACTCATTAGAAAATTGCAAAGCGTCTGGAGCAACGCCACCAGAATCGGACAATTAGTGAATACCTCCCTCTGTTTATTTTGTACAACTTCTGCGGTAGCTTTCGGCAGAGATTGGTGGTTTGGTGGTTCGGGGGGGTGGTAGAGCACGGGGAATGGGCGTAGACAT